AGGACAAAGTTGTGGTAGAAGAGACGTCCTAAGGGATTGGGTTGTTGCTGACAACAATCCACATTAAATGCTGGAAAAATAAAGAGTGGCTAATGCGGATATGAGCTCTGAAATGAATCTAGAAAGATAAGTAGGTAAGAGGACAGCCCTATCAGAGGACAGGCTTCAGGATAGAAGTACCATGTGTTGAGTGATTGGGGAGTTAACTAGTTTGACTGAACTGAGGGTTCATTTGCAGAGTTAGTGGGTAATAAGGCTAAAGAGTAGTTTGAACTGAGAAGGTGCCATCCCTACTGCTTAAGTTTCTCTTAACAGACAAACATTTTTTAAACTGATTCGTGACACTAAACAGATTAAGTCAAACCAGTTCAACCTCACACATGAACTCCTGGACGTTTGATGGGCCTTGGTCTTCTAGTACATCACTGTTTTTGAGAACTAACCCAGCCAGCTAAATGGACTGCTTAGAAAGGTGATACTGGACTCCGGAGGCAGAGGCACGCGGATCTCTGTGAGTTCAAGGACAGCCTGGTCTACATAGTGAGTTCCAGGACAGCTGGGGCTACAGGGAGACCCTGTCTCAAAAAGACCGAAAAAAAAAAAAAAAAAAAAAAGGTGATACTGGGAAAGAAGACATTTGAAAAAGGGATTTTGCCAGTGGAAATCTTGGGAGCAGGAGATTTTTTTCTTTCCTTTCTTTACCTTATCCTTTATTTGACTCTATTTGGTACCATTACTTTTTTTTTTTTTTTTTTTCTTCTTCTTTTTTTTTTTTTTAAGTAAATAGGTTACTTTTATTTGTTTTGTTTTTGAGAACAGGGTCTCCCTGTAGACCCAGCTGTCCTAGAGCTCACTATGTAAACCAGGCTGGCCTCGATCTCACAGAGAGCCTCCTGCACTCTGCCTCCTGAATGCTGAAACTTAAAAGGTGTGTATAAACACACCCAACTATCCATGAAGCAGCTTTTTTCTTTTTTTGATGGTAATACTGGAACTCGAATCCAGAGCCTCAGGCATGCTAGGCAGGCTCTCTACCACTGAGCTACAGCCTAGCCTGAACAGGTTATTTTAGATTGTTAATGAAACAGCATAGTTTGAGAGGAAAACCAAATGGTTAATGTTTTACACACACTTTTGTAATCTTAACAAAATCCAGAGAAATTTTATGAATGCATTTAATTTCTTCTCAGCATGTTGGTTTTGAGGGGCCACATTGTCTGGCCTGACTGGGACAGGGTACTCTGTTTTTGCCTTGTAGCAGCTGTCTTGTAGCCATTCAAGATGGAAAGGACAGGCCAGGTTTGGTGGTCTATGCATTTAGTCCCAGCACTTGGGTGGCAGATCTCTGAGTTTGAGGTCAACCTGGTCTACATAGTGTGTTCCAGGCCGCCAGGGCTACGGGGAGACCCTATCTCAAAAGAAAAAAAACTACACCAGAATGGAGAGGACCCTCCAGGCAAAATGGAGATCTGTGACCTCTTGTGTCTTGAGAAGTGGAGATTTCTGTGGAAACAGGAACCTTTGTTATCCAGTACCTTTAAGTTCATTATCTCTTCATGAAAATTCATAGTGAACCAAGGTGGCTTCCATCTGTACTTAGCTTTAATCCTAGTACCCTGGGCACAGAGGCAGCAGGATCAAAGCCCACTTGGGGTATATAACAAGATCTTATCTCCAGAAAAAAAAGGTGGGGGACGGGGAGAAAAGGTTCGTAATGGCTTATCTGCTTTGTGGGTGTTTTTCATGGTTTGGCACAAAGGATAACAGGCGTTGTAGCCAAGATGTTTCTCATGCTGAGTGAAACCTGTAACAGATGGAGGTGGTGATTGTAAGGCCCCTACTCAGTGTTGGTGTAGTGAATCAGTGTGGTTTGGCACCGAGTCATTATCCATTCTAAGAAAGGATAGGCATTCTGATAGTTTCTCATGAAATATGTAACAGCAACTGAAGACAGCTGATTTTAAATGGCTTCCCAGGACTGCCCTTGCAAGGGCCCTATAGAGTTTATTCTTGTGTTTTAATTGTCTGATACGAAGCTCACCTCATTCCTCCATCTCTTAAGATTCTTCCCGATTTGGCTCACATTCTTTTCAAAGTGTCTTTTTTAATGTATTTGTGTTCTCTTGAAAGTATATGTAATTTAGCCAGGCATGGTGGCGCACACCTTTAATCCCAGCACGGGGAGGCAGAGGCAGGTGGATCTCTTGAGTTCGAGGCCAGCCTGGGCTACATAGTGAGTTCCAGGCCATCTGGGGCTACAGGGAGACCCTGTCTCAAAAGGATGAAAAAAAGGTGGAGGGGAACAGGAAATATATGTAGTTTGGGCTGAGGAAATGGCTCAGTGAGTGAGTACTTGCTCTTAAAGCCCAAGAACCTAAGTTCAAATCCCCAGCACCCATATAAAAGTTAGGCATGGTTGTGTGTACCTATAACCCTAGCATTGGGCAGTGGAGACAGTCAGATCCAGGGCTTGCATGTTAACTAGCCTAGCAAAAATGGTGAGCTGCTGGTTCAGTGAAGAGCCCCTGATTTAAAGGAATAAAGTAACAAGTGATAGAGGAGGTCACCTAAATTCTTCCTCTGGCATATGTACAGGTATACACAGGAAAAAGAAAAAAAGTCAGGCATGATGGTGCGCACCTTTAATCACAACGGCAGGCAGATCTCTTTGAGTTTGAGTGGGGAGGGGGACGATGAAAGGTGGTCACTAGATGTTGTTATGGCAATATTTCAGTATTGCTCCTTTGGTTGGTTTGTCTGAACTGGGTTTGGACTGGCTTGTGTTGAATTTTTGTAATTCAGGGACTAGCCATGAATGGTATTTTTATCTTTTCATAGATTAAGACCTTAAAATGTTAATACCTTCATTGTACTAGTGCTCTTAAAGATTGTTTCATAGGTTGATAAAATTTACATTTGTTTTCTGTGTGGGAAAATCCACAGGAGTTGGTGTTCTTTCACTATGTGGATTCTGGGGATTGAACTCAGGTGGTCAGGCTTGGCTGCAAGTGTCTTTTCCTGCTGAGCCATTTCATGGGCCCAATTCTGACTTTTGATTGAAGTGTAATAGACATAGAAAAAAGTTTATCTATCATAACTGAATTCCACTATGAACACACCCCAACAAGCAACACCAGATCTAGAAATAAAACAGCACCTCAGCGTTTCCATCATGTCTCCCTCGGCTCTGGAATACTTTCATTGTCTGGTATAAACAAAGCTCACCACATTCCTCCTCAAGACTCTACTCTTCTGGATTTGAGCTAACATTCTTTTCAAAGTGTCTTAAAAAAATGAACCTTTCACTGAAACTTAGTTCTTCCTCATTCATAATCTCATCTCTTGATCAGTCTGCTTCCGTTAAACCAGAGAGAGAGAGAGAGAGAGAGAGAGAGAGAGAGAGAGAGACTCGTCACCAGAGTACTTTATATGGCTACCAGCTACCAAGTCATAAAGAACTGTGGGGGCTACACAAAAATGTAGCTGTAGGGTGATAACTAGAAAGATTGCTTGGAATATTTGAAGTGGAGGGGATTGTGGGTTGTTGAGATCACCTGTTGAAAGGAGACGATGGATGAGCAAGCCCTAAGTCTTCTGCAGGGAAATGGTGGCAGAAGCAGTTTCCTCCTCCTCCACACACAGAATGAGCCTCAGACATCTGTGAGCAATGTGAGCTTTCATCTAGAAATACAGACTCCCAGGCACCAGCACCCAGGAGGGGCTTTGGTGACTTTCCCATCCCACTGCGAGCTCATGTTTATCTGTATCCTTTGCTAGTTTGTATGCTCAGACTTTCCCTGGGTTTGCTGCTGCTGTTTTGAGACAGGGTTTCACTATGTAGCCCTGACTGACTTGGAAGTCACTATGTAGACTAAGCTAGCCTCAAACTCAGAGATCCACCTGCCCCTTAAGTGCTAGGTTTAAAGGCATGCACCACCACACGTGGCTGTATGTTCAGACTTTTGAATAAAAATTAACTTGGGGGACTGGAGCAATAGCTCAGTAGCTGAGAGCTTGCACAAGACCTGAACTGTTCTCAGTGCCACATCCGACATCTCCAAGGTATCTGATACCTTCGGATCTCTTCTGGCACCTGCACTCTTGTGCACAGACAGACACACACACACATACACACACACATAATTAAAAAAAAATTTGTGTGGTCTTTCTGAAACAGGGTCTCCCTGTAGCCTCGGCTGGCCTGGAACTCACTATGTAGACCAGGCTGGCCTTGAACTCACAGAGATCTAACTCGAGGAAGCCATTTCACTTTCCTGATCCATTTTCATATCTGTAGGGTATTGTGGTGCATTTGAAGGCTCTCCAAGTCTTCTACCTGAAATCGTGCTGGTTGGTGTACTTCCAGCATTACCTAACCTGCACACAGTATGGCCATTGGTCATTCGAAGTTCTCCTGTGTAAGGTTGCACTTTGAGCAGCTTGGTGGGTGGCCCATACTAGCAGTAGAGAAGCTGTTGGGGAATCCGAGGACTGGGATTTTGGAGGTTAGCTTGCAGATCTCCAGGGAACACTTGAAGTTGGTCTCTGTTGCAGTTGCCTTTGCCTCACTGCCAGATTGAAGCCTTATTCATGCTGTCAGGCTCCCTTTATTGTCTGATATCAATGACTGCTGTTTATTAAAGTTTATTAAAGTGTCCTTCCTCTCCCCCCCCCTCCTTTTTGAAGCAGGGTTTCTCTGTAGCCCCAGCTGTCCTGGAACTCACTCATTATGTAGACCAGGCTGCCCTTGAATTCACAGGGATCCGCCTGCCTCTGCCTCCCAAGTGCTGGGATTAAAGGCGTGTGCCACCACGCCCAAGGAGAATTCTTTTTTCTAATTTTCACAGTTTAACATATAATGCTAGTGGTTGAAAGTTACAAGAAATCAGATATCCAAATAAGACCTTTCACAAACCCAGACAACACAATTGTTGTGGCAGTGCCTTTAAAGGGGAAAAATAAATTACTGATTTTTTTTTTTTCCCCTTCTTATTTTTCAGGTTTTGAATGAAGAATGTGATCAGAACTGGTACAAGGCAGAACTCAATGGGAAGGATGGCTTTATTCCCAAGAACTACATAGAAATGAAGCCACATCCGTAAGTTGGCCCTTTGGTCCTCAAGCTGCAGATGCACCTGTTTAACCCAAATATTGTTTTTGTTTGGTTTGATCCCTCCCCCCCCCAGACAGGGTCTTGACATATGTGGTGTGCATTGGGGGGGGTAAGGGATGTGAATCTTGTGCTTCAGCCTTCCAAAGAACTGGGAGAGTACTTGGATTCAGTTTCCAGCACCCACAGGATGGTTCACAACAGCCTGTAACTCCAATTCTAGAGGATCCAAAACCCCATCTGACCTTCACGGGCTTCAACATGCATATGACACATACATATACTCAAGGATGGATGGATGGATGGATAGATAGATGATTGATAGATAGATAGATAGATAGATAGATAGATAGGATTGATAGACTGATTGATTGGTTGGTTGACTGATTGATTGATTTTTAATGGAGAGTTCACACCTAGGAGTCATGGCACATATGTGATCTCAGCACTTGGAAATACAGATACGTGGATCACAAGCAGTTCGAGGCCAATGCATAGTGAAACCATATCTCAAATAATAAGAATAAAAACAAACTAAGATAAATAAATACATTAATCAGACATTGTGGTACATGCCTGTAAGCCCAAAACCAGGCTGAATGCCATAGGGATTTCAGAGCCAGCACTTGCATACCAAGACCCTATCTTAGAAAGCCAGCCAAGGCCAGGATCGCTGTGAGTTCAAGGCCAGCCTGCGCTACATAGTGAGTTCTGGTCAGCTGGGGATACAGGGAGACTCTGTTTTAAAATAAAAACCAAAAATATTTTAGCTCTACAGAGGGTCCTTGCCACATGGTTTTGTATTGATGTATTTGATGCCCCATGGAGGAGTATGTTCATTGTGCCTTGGCATACGATGATTCTCAGTAAGCATTTACTCTTCCGTCCTATTGTTCCCACTTCAGAGAGAAGGAAGTATGTTCTCCTCTAGGCCACAAGAGCAATGGACTTTTCTACTTTAGTTTTTGGTCCCCATGCTCTCTCTGAGCATTTCAAATTTTCTCCAGAACCCCTACACTCTGTCATATAGTGATATGTAGCATGGTGGGGACTCTTAAAGACTAGTACCTTCTATCTCACCCACCCATCTTTCACTAGCTCTGCCCCTCCTTCAGGAACAGTTATTTGCACACCTTGGTCCAGGCTCTGAATGCCCAAGCTAGAATGTAGTTGGGATATTGTCTGCTTGGTTTAATCCCAAGTGGTGAGACTTTTTGGATGACCTAACCCACCCTGAGTAGCAGCTCATTGGCCCCTCTCCCCATTACCACCCCAAACAAATGTCTGTCCTTCCCCTCACATAATGTAACCATGTTACATTTCTTCATATTTCCCCAAACGCCAAAGACATCCTCTTAAATATGTGTTATATAGCCTGAAGGGTCCTTCAGGATCATCTGACGTACTCTTTTCTATCCTATGAATTTCAAAGGCTTCTGATATTTTTATTTCAGTGCTGGTAATCTGTGAATATAGCTCTCACTATAAAGAATGCACAGTGCAAAGAAAGAAAAGAGAAAAGCCATAGAGTAATGTATGAGCTTGTCTCCATACATGGAGCCTTTGCGGAGGCAAGGACTGACAGCAGCTGTGGGCCATATGCTACTTAAGGACCAAATTCTAAGCTTGTTCTTATTTTTTCTTTTTGGTCTTTTTGAGACAAGGTCTCCCTTGGAGCCACAGCTGACCTGGATTCACATGGAGAACAGACTGGCCTCAAACTCAACAGAGATCAGCCTGTCTCTTCCCCCAAGTGCCTGGCTATCGTTCCTTTTTTTTTTTTTTTTTTTTTTTTAAATTTTATGTGTCTGAGTGTAATGCCTGCATGTAGGTAGGTGTACCCGTGTTGTGAAATGCCTGAAGAGATCAGAACCTGAGGGCATTGGATTCCCTGAAACTTGAGTTGAGTTACAGAAAGTTGTTAGCTTCCACATGGGTGCTAGGAATCGAACCTTGGTCTTCTGTAAGAGCAGCCAGTGCTCTATGCTGAGCCGTCTCTCTAGCCCCTCTGTTCTAAAAAGGTGATGTGTCTTCTCTCAAGCCTCCCCATAAAACTCCCAGTTGAACTCTTACAGAGTGTTCATTATGTTGCCCAACTACAAGATGCTGAGAAGTTATGTTCCACAGTTAGCTTATGGCTTAATAATATTTTTACACCATTCCTATGAAAACTCTCTGAGATAGTATCAAGGAAACAGAGGCCCAGAGGTAGAAGGTTAGATTGCCTACAGAGTGATCCAGGAAAGATGTGTATGTCACAAGGGTAGCTGGGGTCTGATCAAGAAAACCTCTTTTATTTCAAGGACAACCAGGAACCTCATAATGTCACAGACAAATGTTTCATGGGGTATTGTATAAAATGAAGAGGGGTGGTGCTGGCTGGAGAGATGGTTTGGTGGTTAAGAGCAGGACCTGCAGCTAACAGCTGTCCATAACACCAGTTCCAGGGGATGGGACACTCTCTTCTGTCCTCCATGCACACTGTACAACATGGGTGCATTTACATACATGCAGATATAACACTCATACACATAAAAATAATTTTTAAATGAAGATGGGTCTCATTCTATATTTTTCTTGTTTTTGTTTAGAATTCATGCTACCTTGTATTTTGCATAAGTGTTTTAAGTTTTATGTTCCCCAAAAAAAGGATTTTAGGTTCCTTGGAGAATTAAGTTGGTCTTCTACCATTGTAATTTGTACTTTGCTTTTGTCCAGAGTGGCTCAGTAAATATTTTTATTTTACTGAAACTCAGGCTTAAATAAGCCTTAATTAGAACACAAAAGCACTAAATGTTCAGTGGCCTTTTTTTGCATTAGAGTCCTGGAACTCTGCCCATGTTGACAATGGTATGCTCAAGATAAGATTGGAGGCCAATATGTGGCCTGCCTAGGTTACTCAAAGTTGTGAACCAGGAGCTCTAAGAGGTCTCACATGAATGCCTTACAGATTTCTAAGTGTTACTAAGCCAGCTTCATGTTCTTATAGCCTTTTAGTCTTGGTTTTGCTTCAGGAAGTTGTGCAGGCTTTTCACAGACATAATCATAAGTAATGGTATACTGAAGAAACATTGAGCAGTGCCTGTTGGGTTGAGGAAGACCCCTTGAATCAGACCACGGTAACCTCTCAGTCCCAATGTGTAAGCCAAACAATTTGTATTTCTCTTTCCTTCATCCTTATTATAAAACCTCAGCACCTTTAATCCCTGAACTCTGGAGGCAAAAGCAAACTACTCTGTCACTGTGCTACACCCTAAGTCCCTAAAATTTTATCTTTTAATAACCTGTTAGTACTGGGTTTCTAGTTACATGGTAGAGTGCTTGCTTAGCATGTACAAAGCCCTGGATTCCATCCCTAGCACCATAAAAATTAAATTTTTTTTTTGAGACAGGGTCTCCTTATGTAGCCCTGGCTGGCCTAGAACTCACTAGGCCACACTTGCAGAGATCCACCAGCCCTTTCCTCCTGTGTCCTGGGATTAAAGGCATGGGCCACCATGTCCATCTAATTAATTTTTAAAAATAAGAGTTATAAAAGGAATGTGGCTTAGTGGTAGAATGCTTGACTGGCATTTATGAGGCCCTCAATTCCCAGCACTAGGAGATGAGGATTGAAAAATAGGTATAGTGTAATGCTTATGTTCTTAACACTCCAGAGGCTGAGTCAGGAAAATCACAAATTCAAGACCAGCCTGTAGGCCAGCAGAATGGCTAAGCAGGTAAAAGTACTTGCCATGGAATCCTGACAACCGGAGTTCAATCCCCAGAACCCATAGTGGAAAGAGAGAACCAACTCTCAAAAATTGGCTTCTGTCTGCCACAAGTGTGCCATGGCATGTGCATCCACACGGATAAATAATTCTAAGTAAATAAATACTTTAAAAGAAAAAAGGCTAGCCTAGGCTAATGTAGCAGCATTGCCTCAAATTGAACAATTAGCTTGTAAGCCATAAAAAACAGGACACATGGCTGGGCATGGTGATACACGTGTTTACTCCCAGCACTCAGGAGGCAGAGACAGGTGGATGTTTGTGAGGCCACCTTGGTCTATATAGCAGGTTGCTGGCCAGCTGGTGCCACGTAGTGAGACCCTGTCTCAAAACAAAACTAGCCAGGCATGGTGGCAGAGGCAGGTGGATTTCTGTGAGAACAAGGCCAGCCTGGTCTCCATAGTAGTTCCAGGCCTGCTGTGGCTACAGGAAGACCCTGTCTCAAAAAGACCATAAAAAGAAAAACACCAGGCTGTAGAGGGCCAGCCACCCAGTGAAACATTTGCATCCACAGGACACAGACTGCTGTGTTATGCTACAGCACCAAGTGTGTGTCCTACATAGCTACATGTGCTCTTCATAGTAAGTGCCTGTGGGCAGGAGCCTGTGACATGCTATAAATAATTAAATTGGAAAATCATCTCTCCTCTCTTGACTTCCTTTCTTGCTATTTCTAGAGTAGTACAGACCAGTTTTTTTGTTTTAAGATTTGCAGAATATTTGGCTGTAGGCATGTAGTTATACATAAACATCAGCATTAAAAGAAGCCTGTCAAGCTCAGGGTGTAACTTGGTGTCAAGGGCTTGCCCAACTTACACAAGACCCATCTCCAGCCCAGCAAACAGCGCATAAAATTTTTATGAAGTTTATTGAATTTGTAAATGGTATGCAAATGCAGAGATTAAGTTAGCTGTTTTTCCTGGGAATGACAGCTCTTTTCTCACACGGTGTGTTCCTCCCTTATCATGGTCTGCTATTCCTGCTGTGTGGGATGCCTCTCAGACTGTGCTTCATGAGCAAGACACAAGAATTGTTTTCTTTTTCTTTTCTTTTTTTAGACAGGGTCTCATTATGTGGCAACCTGGGCTGGCCTAGAACTCATCCCTAAGTAAACCAGTTGGCCTCAAACTCACAGAGCTCTGCCACCTCTGCTTCCTGAGTGCTGGGATTAGAGGCTCCGGCCACTTTACATGCAGGAGAAGGAAGCACTCAGTGCACATAAAATTAAAAGGTTTTATATTTATTTATATATATATATATATGTGTGTGTGTGTGTGTGTGTGTGTGTGTTTCAGGGGGCTGGAGACATGGCTCAGCAGTTAAGAGCACTAACTGCTCCTGCACAGGACCCAGGTTTGATTCCCAGAACCCACATGGTGGCTAACAACTGTCTGTAACTCCAGTTCCAGGGGCTCCATCAGATCCCCTGGAACTGGAGTTACAGACAGTTGTTAGTTCTTCTGCAAGAACAACCAGTGTTTTTAACCGCTGAGTTATCTCTCCAGCCCCAAAATTAAAAGTTTTAAAGAAAAAAATTTAAATTCAATTGGAAAGCTGGGCCTGGCGGCACAGACTTATAAACCAAGTACTCAGGCAGGAAAATCAGGAGTTGGAGACCCAGCCTAGTCTACCTGAGAGATGGCTGGAGAGATGGCTCAGTGGTTAAGAACACTGACTGTTCTTATAGAGGACCCGGGTTTGTTTCCCAGCCACCCACATGGCAGCTACGAGCCATCCTTAACTCCAGTTCCAGGAGAATCTGAAGCCCTCTTCTGACCTCCGAGGCATTGCACGTCACAGGTACACTCACATACATGCAGGCAACACACTCATACACATAAAAAATAAAATGTTAAAAGTTTATTAATAATAATAACTGCAGTTAGAATGCTTTTCTATATTGCAATTTACAGTGCGCTACAATTATATTTTTCTGAGACAAGATTTCTTGTAGCCCAGGCTAGCCTCAAACTTACTATGTGACTTAGGCTGGCATTGAACCCCTGATCCTCCTGCCTCTTCCTCCCAGGTGCTAGGGTTATGAGCCACTACAGTTTTTAAGATGACAATAAAATTGAGTTGCTTCTTAAGCTGGGAACAAGAAAATACAACCACTTAAGTGTATGGATTTGTGCCCATAAGGAAAGGTCTGGAAGTGCATGCACATGGCTGCCTACAGTTGCCACCAGGGCAGTGGCACTTGAATGAGAGTCTTCCTTTTTACTTTCACATCATTCGTATCTAGGACACTTTAATTTATATTCATTTCTTAATACAGCTTTGGGGGGGCAGTTCTTTTCAAGACAGGGTCTTCTTGTAGCCCCAGCTGGCCTGGAACTTGCTCTGTAGACCAAGCCCGCCTCCATCTCACAGAGACCCACCTGCCTCTGCCTCCTGAGTGCTGGGACCACACCAGGCCAGCATTTATTTTAAGTGCCTGACTGGTAGCAAGATAAGACCTTGGGGTCTTGGAGGGGAGAAAGTGGCTCTAGAGAATGTCAGCACCCACCCTGTGAGTGTGGAAGGAGGGCAAAGTCTTTGTGGACCCTACCTTGGTTGAACATGGCCAGTCACATATTACAGGCAAGCACTAGGAGCTCTTGAAAGTACCAGAGCTCTTTGAAAGTACCAGACCACTTAGGTGCCCTACTTACTAGGTGTTTTCCTCACATCATTAGAGATGATTGTGATCTGTTAATAGGGAATTTCCCATGTGTGACCTGATTCCCAGGCACTGCAGGGTTCACTTTTGAGCATTGTAGACAGAGGAGAATATGTCCTACCAGCTTCTCTACAGCCTAATATCAGAGCATGAAAAATGAAAAAGACATGAAACAGATTTGGGTCAGGCTCCTGCAAGTGCCTCCTAGTAGTTTTATATCTTCCTGCCTGAACTTTAGTCTTAGAATAGCAGAATGTTTTGAAAACATCTTATAACATGGTTGCTTATAAGATAGCCATGAGCTGTGCATGTACCACATGCCTGGAATTCACAGTACTTGGAGGCCTCAGCAGGAAGATTGAGTTTGAAGGCCATTGTGGACCAGTAGAACCCTGTCTCAAGACAAAACACCAACCATGGTGATTTACATTCTAGAGCCTGAAATAGGAGTGGGAGAGTTCAAGACCGGTTAGCTTAGGCTCTAGAGCTCCAAGCCAGCACAGGCTACCAAGTAAGTCCTGCCTCAAAACAGACTCAAAAGGGTCTAGAGAGATAGTTCAGCAGTTACTCTTGCAGAAGGCTCAAGTTCAATTCCCAGCACCCATGTTGGGCAGCTCACAGCTGCCTGTAACTACCTCATAGGGATCTGACACCTCTGGCCTCCCAAAGACACCTGCATTCAAAGGACTTCATTGATGACTATATGATAGTGAGATGGCCAGCAGTCAAAGCACTTGCCACAAACTGGATGATCTGAGTTTGAGCCTCAGAATCCACATGAAGTCTAGGGGAGAATCCACTCTACAGTGGGCTTCCCCTGCCACTGTGTACACACAGTAATACTAAAAAAAATTCTTTTGAGATGACTAAAAATTAGACTTAGGCTGGGTGTGGTGGCGCACGCCTTTGATCCCAGCACTCGGGAGGCAGAGGCAGGCAGATCTCTGTGAGTTTAAGGCCAGCCTGGTTTACAGAGAGTTCCAGGCCAACTGGGGCTACAGGGAGAACCTGTCTCAAACCACTACTCCCCCCTCCCCCTCCCCCCGGCCAAAAAGAAAAAGTTAAAGACTTAGGTAATTTAGTTACCAGAGTGGTTACCTAACATGCATGAGGCCCTAGGTTCAAGCCCCAGAACCACATAAAACCAGGCAGGGTGGTACGTACTGTGGTGCAAGCACTTGAACAAAAGGATCAGAAAGTCAAGGTCCTTCTCTACATGGCAAGTTCAGACCAACCTAGAAAACCTGAGCCTGTACCACCACCACCATCATTACCACCCCCCACCCCACCCCCAAAAATGATAGAGCTGGGTTTAGTGGTGAATGCCTATAATCCCAGCATTTGGGAGGTAGAGGCAAGAGAGTCAGGAGTTCAAGGCTAACTTTGGCTATATAAGCAATTTGAGGCCAGCCTGGACTTATAGAAGATCTTGTCTCAAAAAGAAAAAATAATAGTAATAAAATAAAAATTTATATAACTGTGACAGACTCGTACTGTTATTAGCATTTTCATGTTAAATGAATGCTAATTATAAGGTGAAGGCCTTTCTTTGCTGATATAAATAATGGCTTTGCCCCCGCCCCCCAAGCACTGGGTTTGCTTATAAAATGTAGTAAACTATTGAAGATTTTCTTCACAGTTCCTCTGACCTAATTAGTAGTAGTTTTCATTTGAAGTGGCCATATAGCCATGACCTTGAACCCTTTAAGAGAATGCCCCCCCAGCCCCCATGAGCCACAACACTTGTTCCCACAGTTTTCCATTAATTCACTTTTATGTGTATGAGTGTTATGCCTGCATTTAAATAAGTGCACTCATATCATGCAATGCCCCCGTGGAGGACAGAAGAGGCTGTCAGATCCCCTGGAACTGCAGTTACAGACAGTTGTTAGCTGCCATGTGGTGCTGGGACTCAAACCCGGGTCTTCTGCAAGAACAGTCAGTGTTCTTAACCACTGAGCCATCTTCTCCAGCCTCCTATGAATTTACTTTTTTAAAATATTGTATGTGTGTTGCAACTACATATGTTTAAATGTACCCCTTGTCATGCAGTGGAGACCAGAAGGGCATCAGATCCTCTAGAACTGGAGTTGACAGTTGATAACCACCTTGTGAGTGCTGGAAACCAAGAGCAGCCAGTGCTCTTAACCTCTGAGCCCCAGAATTCACTTCTTGTCAAGTGATTTAGCATTGGGGACACAAGTGTTCATAACTACTGCAAATGAAAAATCTTGATTTTTTTTTTTTTTTTTCCTATGAGCTTTTCTGTGTGTAGTAAATTCTAATGTTCCTGATACTATGGTTTGGTTTTTGTTTGGGGTTTTTCTTGAGGTGCTGAGAATCAAACCCGCGTCTTCATAAATTGAAGATATGTGTTCTACCACTGAACCACATCCCCAACCCATTCCAGAGGGCTTTGAAAGCGTACCCTAAGCAGTGTCCTGATGGGAGCCAGAGCGGAATGCTACCTACGGCAATGTTGGAGACAGCATTTTCACAAGCCAGGCCTTCTCTGGGCTTGAGGTAGAAGTAGCCCTGCCTCCAGCTTCTAGGCCTTCCACATTCCCTCCCCGGGACCTCTGTTAGTGTGGCAAAGCTGCTGCCTTATCGAATGGCTGCCAGAAGGACAGCCTGATGTTCATCCTGTGCTTTCTGGGCTTCCCTAGGTGCCTTTCTGATGAGTCAGCCTGGGGCAGGTAGACTTTGGCTTTAGAAGCCTGTTTGTAAATGTCTTAGACTAGGCTGGCATGTTCAGAGTGGTCTGGTCATAGACCAAGGAGAGTGGCCTGTGTTGGTGCCTTGAAACTTAGTCTAGAGAGTGAAGTAGGTGACGCTGTTGAAAGCCTATTTCTTAGGGGCACTCTGAGCCAGAGTGGGCACAGGGAGACCAGAGGGTAAAGAGTGAGCCCCTTCCTTTGGCAAGAAGTGTTCTCTTACTCAATTTAAGACTGGCCATCCTGGGGGCTGGAGAGATGGCTCAGTGGTTAAGAGCACTGGTTGTTCTTGCAAAAGACCCGGGTTCGAATCCCAGCACCCACATGGCAGCTAACAACTGTCCCAAACTCGAGTTCCAGGGGATCCGATGGCCTCATCTGTCCTCCACGGGCATTGCACGATATGGGTACACTTACCTACACGCAGGCAACACACTCATACACATAAAATAAAAATAATAAAATATTACACCAAAAAAAAAAAAGACCGAACATCCCGTTTCTTTGTTGGGGAAGCAGATGTTGACCGGCTTGCCTTCCTTCCTTAGGTGGTTTTTTGGCAAAATCCCCAGAGCCAAGGCAGAAGAAATGCTTAGCAAACAGCGGCATGATGGGGCCTTCCTAATCCGAGAGAGTGAGAGTGCTCCTGGGGATTTCTCCCTCTCCGTCAAGTAAGTATTTCCTGCTGGAGTTGCCCATGGAACTATTGAAATATGAGGACATTCATTAGCTAGGTCTTTAAGGAGAAGGACATGTTAACTGGCTTGCTACACAGAAATTTTTCTATGAGAACTCCAGTTTGGAGCTCTGAAACCTGGTTCTAGCAGTACTGAGTTTAGATTCTCCAGGAACTAAGCAGCAACCCTGTCAAGATGGCATTCACAGGTTAGTTTCCCCTAATCCCCACCACTCCTGGTTCCTCCTGCCACTGGAGGTAGGGGTAGGCAAATCTGATTTTAAGGCCAGTCTGGACAACGTAATGAATTCTAGGCCAGCCAGAGCTACATAATGAGACTAGTCTCAAAAAATTAAATAAATAAAAGCCAGGCGTGTTGGCGAATGCCTTTGATCTCTGTACTCAGGAGGCAGAGGCAGGTGGATGACTCTGAGATTAAAACCAGCTTGGTCTACATAGGGAGGTCCAGACCAGCTGGGGCTACAGGGAAACTCTTCCCCCAAAAGACCAAAATAAAGGGACTGGAGAAATGACTTAAGACCACTGGATGCTCTTGCAGAGAACCTGGGTTCAATTCCCAGCACCCACATGGTAACAGCCCTCCAAAACTCCAGTTCCAGGACACCCTCTTCTGACCTCCGCAGGCATTGCATGACATGGGTGCATTTACACACATGCAGGCAATTACACTCATACACACGAAATAAAAATAAAAAAATTTTTAAATACCAAAATAAATTTTAAAAATGTCATTCCTATAATTTTATTTGACCATTGGTCTCTTGTTTTTTCTTTTTTTCTAGTTTTTTAAAAATTTTTGTTATTTTTAAAAAATATTTTATTTATTATTTTTATGTGTATGAGTGTATTGCCTGCATGTATGTGAGTACACCTGTGTCAAGCAATGCCACGGAGATCAGAAGAGAGCTTCAGATTACCCTGGAACTGGAGTTAAGGACGGATTAAAGACATGCAACCACCACGCCCGGCCATACATCACTTTTTATTATTCATTTGTAAGATAGATGCCCACTCTAGCTCAAGCTGTCCTGAAACTTGCCCTGTGCCCTCAGATCCAAGCTGGTGTGTCTCAGCCTCCTACATGCTGGGGTCACTGCATGAGCAGCTCCATCCAATTCACTTCATTGTTTGTTTTTTGTTTTTGTCTGAGACAGGGTCTCCCTGTAGCCCCAGCTGGCCTGGAACTCACTTTATAGACCAGGCCTTGAACTCAGAGAGATGCCTCTGCCTCTGCCTCCTGAGTGCTGGCATTAAAGGCATGTGCCACCACACCTGGCAACTTGTTTTTTTTTAATTTATGTGGATAAGCATATTACCTGAATGTATGTAAGTGCACCCGTGTCATGCAGTGCCTTTAGAGGTCAGTAGACGGTGTCAGATTCCCTGGAACTGGAGTTACAGAGGGTTGTTAGCTGCCATGTAGATGCTGGGAATCAAACCCAGGTCCTCTGCAAGAGCAGTCAGTGTTCTTAACCGCTGAGCCATCTCTCTAGCCCCATCATTTGTTTTGAGACAATCTTACTGTATCAGACTGGTCTGGAAATCATTATTTAGTTATAGTCAAACTGTCCTCAAATTTTCAATTCTCCTGCCTCAGTCTCCCAATTTCTAGAATTACAGATATGGGTCACCACATTAGACTCTTAATTTTCTTATAGGATCAGTACATGGTTAAAATACAGGTCTAAGGGCTAGAGAGATGGTTCGTTCAGCAGTTAAGAGCACTTGTTGCTCTTCCAGAGGACCAGAGTTTGGTTCTCAGCATCCACATTGAGTGGCTTTATAATCTCCAAGGGATTCCATATACTCCTGGCCTTAGAAGGCACCCACATGCACGCGGAAACACATACACACATAAATAAGATGAATTTTTTTTAAAGTATAGGTTAAAAATTTTACTAGGTAAATTACAGTTTTATTTTTTATCTTTTTTCTTAGCCTTTGGGTTTTGTTTTTGTTTCAAATTTATTGTGCCAGGTGTGGTGGTGTTCGCCTTTAATCCCAGCACTTAGGTGGCAGAAGCAGGCCGATCTCTATGAGTTCAAAGCTAGCCTGGTCTACATAGTGAGTTCCAGGCCAGCTGGGGCTACAAGGAGAGTCTGTCTCCAAAAAAAAACGTGTGTGTGAGTACAGGTGTGCATGTGCCACAGTACACATGTAGAGGTCAGAAGATAACTCTTAGAAGTTGATTTTCTTCTTGAGGGATCTAGGGATTAAATTTTTGGGCCTGCTTACAAGCACCTCTACTACTGAGCCATCTTTCCTGCTCTGGTTTTGTTTATTTGTTCAATATAGAGACAGGTTCTAACTTGTCTAATCATGAACGTTTCAATCCTTCTACTTTAGCCTCTCGGGTGGTAGAAATGACAGATTTTCACCATCTGACCCAGCAAGTTTTGTTCTTTTTCTAAATGAAGGCATGAGAGGAGTAAGGGGTGTTTAATGATTATTTTTATACAAGTATTTTGACTGCCTGTATGTTTACTGGTATGTGTATGGTACCCTCGAAGGCTGGAAGAGGACAGAGCAACCATGTGGGTGTTGGGAATTGAACCTGGGTCATCTTGAAGAACAGCAAGTGTTCTTAACCATGAGCCAACTCTCCAGCCCCCTCAGATGAGATTTGTAGTACTTCACAAACTGATTTATTGGGTATAGATAGCTCCAGCTGGCCTGGAACTCAAAGATCTGCCTGCCTCTGTCTCCTGAAAGTTGGGATTAAAGGTGTACACCACCATGCCCAGTCCAGACAGGCCCTGTCAGTATGCTCTTGACCATCCATGTTTCTTCTGCTTAAAAAACAGGATCTCTGTGAGTTGGAGGCCAGCTTGGTCTACATAGCAAGTTCCAGGTCAGCTAGGGCTACAGGGAGACTCTCTCTCTCTCTCTCTTTCACACACACACACACACACACACACACACACCCATAGTCTGCCTACTGGATTTCACACTTTCTGTCATATGTTAAGGTCTGTCGAGTCAAGTTACTGTAACCAGACATCCCCCAGTGCAAGTTCATCCACTGGAGTTTAGTCAGCCTCTCTGGAGTCTCTTAAAGAAGATCAGCTCTCTCTCACCCAGCAGTAATCAGCTGCCAGTAGTTCTTCAGCTAAGGTTGGGGCCTGCTGCCCATTTCCCCAGTTCTATGCTGGTGTTTTGTCTGCTTGAGTTTGCACGGGTCTTGTGCCTGCTGACACTTTTGCTTTAAGTTCTTCAGGCTCCCAAGGAGCCTGTAAGACTGTTTCCTGATTGTCATGTACCTCCTCCCCTGGCTCTTAAACTCTTTCTGCCCTCCTCTTCCAAAATTGTCCCTGAGCCCTGGGTCGGTGGAGTTTAATATAGGAGTCCTGTCCAAGGACCCACACTCTGCATACTTTTTGGCCATTTGTGGCCTTTTGTGTTGATTGCTCTCTGTCACATAAGGGAGCCTCGTTGATGAGAGTTGAGAGATGCCTTAGTGTTCTCTCTACCCTTGCTCCACTGGTCCATGAGCCTTAGGTGTAAATGTTCTGTTCTGTTATAGATGGGTCACTTAGGGTCAGGGTCTCACAGAAAGTCACACATTGTAAATAACTTTTGTCAGGATATTGCTACAATTGTTTCATTTACTGAAAATTAAACTTTATCAGATTCTATGCATGATAGGGAAAAACAGTGGGTATGGGGTTTGATATATCTGTGGTTTCAGACATGCCCTGGGGGGTTCTTGGGAGAAATGCTCCAAGGATAAGGGGGGACACTACAGTGTTGGCAAGCACAAATGTCTCCTACTCCCTCTTGGAGCTCGGTGCTGCCACCTGCTGGATTATCTTTAGGAAGTGTTTGATTTCTTTATACTTTTATTTATTTATTTATTTTTTTTTTTGGTCTTTTTGAGACAGGGTCTTTCTGTAGCCCCAGCTGTCCTGGAACTCACTTTATAGACCAGGCTGGCCTTGAACTTACAGAAATCCACCTGCCTCTGCCTCCCAAGTGCTGGGATTAAAGGCATGCACCACCATGCCCAGCTTATTCTTTTTAAAATATTTTATGTGGGCTGGAGAGATGGCTCAGAGGTTAAGAGCACTGGATGCTCTTACAGAGGACCTGGGTTCGATTCCCAGCACTCACATGGCCTACGAACCGTCCTTAACTCCAGTTCCAGGAGAATCCAAAGCCCTCTTCAGACCTCCGCAGCATTGCATGACACAGTTGCACTCACATGCAGGCAATACACTCATATACGTAAAACATTTTTTTGGTGTATTGCCTGATTGTGTGTAAGTGCACCTGTGTCACTCAGTGCCCAAGGAGGTCAGAAGAGGCGTGAGATCCCCAAGAACTAGAGTTACGGGGGGTTGTTAGGTACCGCATGGGTGCTAGGAATCAAACCCAGGTCCTCTGCAAGAGCAGCCAGTGCTCTTAACCTCTGAGCCATCTTTCCAGCCCTTCATTATGCTTTTAAGACTGGTGAAGACTCATTCCTGGAACAGAGTACCTTTGAGGGCTTAGCACTGAACAGAAAGTAGAGCCCTCGCTGAGCTCCTGTCCTGTCCAGATGTCACTGTGGGCCGCACCAGTTGATCACACTAGCCAGTCTGTCAGTGCAAAAGAGAGTGTGTTCAGTGCTGGGGTGTTTATTTCTATGACCATCTTCCCCTGGAAATGGAAAACAAAATGAAAATTCCTGCTTGGAAAGCATAGCTTTGATAGGTTGTGGTGCAGTATGCCTGTAATCTCTCTCTCTGAGTTCTAGACCATCTTGACCTACATAGTGAGTACTGGTGCTATAGTGTTTGAATGTCACGATGCTTTTTTTCTTTTTTCTGGTCTTTTTGAGACAGGATCTCCCTGTAGCTCCAGCTGCCTGGAACTCACTCTGTAGACCAGGCTGGCCTCGAACTCACAGAGGATCCCTATCGCCTGCCTCTGCCTCCTGAGTGCTGGGATTAAAGGCATGTGCCACCATGCCTGGTGTTGCTTTTTTCTTTATAACTTTTAAAAGGGAGTGAAGTTTGCTAGGCGTGGTGGCACAGGTCTTTAATCCCAGCACTTGGGAGGCAGAGGCAGGCAGATCTCTGAGTTTAAGGCCAGCTGGGGCTACAAGGAAATCCTGTCTCAAAAAGACCAAAAAAAGGAGGAGGGGGCAAAGTCTTTGTAAAGTAGGCTGTGTTAGTGGGTGCCGTTCAGGGCATAAGCATACAGTAGGTCAGGACACTCCTACCTTACAGACATCTGTAGGGATTGTTCCTGTAGCTTGAGACCATTATTTATAGAGGGGTCCGGGGAATGCTCAAGTGATTCTCAGCTCTCTTCAGCCAGGGTGCAGGTTGCTGTGCAGCTGCTGAGTCCTTAAGCTGTGAAGATGTGGCTCTCTAGGCACATCCTATATGAACAGACAGACCTGGACAGACAGACAGCGCCCTATGGCTCATTCACACATGTTCTCTGTGCCTCCTCAGGTTTGGAAATGATGTGCAGCACTTCAAGGTGCTCCGAGATGGAGCTGGGAAGTATTTCCTCTGGGTGGTGAAGTTCAATTCTTTGAATGAGCTGGTAGATTACCACAGATCAACATCCGTGTCAAGGAACCAGCAGATATTTCTACGGGACATAGAACAGGTGCCACAGGTAAGCCATATCCTTGTGCCAACAAGCTTGGAATCACTCCAGCAAGTCAGAGGAAGAGCTCCTGGAGCATGCACACCCTTCACGGGGCTGCTTCATTCCAGGTGCCACCCATAGTTCACTTTGAAGGTCTGCAGTGGGATTTAGATGCTTTACAGGCTACTTCAGAGTTCCTGTGTTGTCCCTCCAGGAGTTTCCCCAAACCCACGTTGAAGGAGTTGAGTGGTGTTTAGATGCTTTTGTCTCTAGTAGGAAGGAAGGCATTGTGCTGGTTTATCACCTGTCTCCAGAGATGGTGCTTAAGCCTGGGGAGTTGGTTGCACGCCTTTAATCCCAGCCCTGGGAGGCAGAGGCAGGCAGATCTCTATGAGTTCAAGGCCAGCCGGGGCCACAGGGAAACCTTGTCCCCCCCAAAATAAAACAAAAACAGCCTGGTGTGGTGGCGCATGCTTTTAATCCCAGCACTCAGGAGGCAGAGGCAGATGGATCACTGTGAGTTCAAGGCCAGCCTGGTCCACATAGTGAGTTCCAGGACAGCTGGGACTACAAGGAGACCCTGTCTCAAAAAGACCAAAACAAAGACAAAAAACACAGAGATGGTACTTAGCATGGCGAGATGTTCTGTCCCAAGGCTAGCCTTTAGGGAATGGTATCTGCACATAGTAGCTTGAACTTTTGTCTGTGCCACCTCAATTTATTGACACTCTTGACCTTTGACCCTGTAGAACCTAAGTGACAGGATTCCAAACATTTCTAAACCTAATAACAGAACTGACGCACATGCGCCAGGTGCCCTTGCTGTCTTCCACTTGGTAACACAGCCCACTTGCCACCTAAGCCGGATAGATGTGCCCTGTGCTTTTGAGCAATGGTGAAATATTATACCAAACCCACTAGAGTGAACTTAGAACATATAAGAGTGAAGGGAACTGGGCTGGAAGGCTGCTTCAGGAAATGGAGTGGTTTGCATGTGCTTGCTCCACGTGTGAGCATCCAGCTTACCAGGCAGCCAACAAGATCCAGAACACCATGTTTCCCCTGCTCTTTTGCAGCAGCCAACATACGTCCAGGCCCTCTTTGACTTTGACCCCCAGGAGGATGGTGAGCTGGGCTTCCGCCGGGGAGACTTCATCCACGTCATGGATAACTCAGACCCCAATTGGTGGAAGGGGGCTTGCCACGGGCAGACCGGCATGTTTCCCCGCAATTATGTCACCCCTGTGAACCGGAACGTCTAACAAGCAAAAGAGATTATTTAAAGAAAGTGAAAAGTTGAAAACATACACAAGAATTTCCCCACAGGCTGCTACAGCCTTTGAGGGCGCTCGGAACACCTGGCTGGGTCCACTGCTGACCCGCACTTTGGTTGGAACTTTGGGGGGTGGGAAAGGGGGTATTGGATTTCAAAAAATGCCAAAACTTAACCTATTGAAGTAAGAGTTTTTATTACAGAATCTCACCGCTGCTCCTGTTCCCCTTCCTGTGTCCTTTTTCTCTTCCTTTTTTCTCCTGTCCTTCAGTGCATGACATTTAGGCCACATATAGTCCCAGCTGATGCCAATAATAAAAGAAAAGAAACCAAGTGGGCTGGTATTTTCTCTATGCAAAATGTCTGTTTTAGTGGAAATGACTGAAAGAACAGTGTTCTTTGTATATACACACAAAAAGGAGCAGGCAGGGCCAGGGCACCTGGGGTCTCCTGGTTTGGTTTCTGCCAGAAATGCCTGAGGGCATCCTGCTTCCATCCCAAGCCCAGGACAAGGCACTCCATCAGAGTTGGGGACGGAGGTGTGCTGCCCACCTGTGGCTTCCTGAGGACTGCAAACCTGCACCTCTTCCACTTTGTTTCCCTTCAGGTGTTGTTATGAGGATGTTGTTTTTCATAGTGCCTTTTTCCTTATTTCAAGGGTTTCCTACGAGTGATGTTTTTATGTTTTGTTTTAAAATAAGTTAAAGACAGTCCAGAGTTTTTCAGCCAAAATGTCTCCTGTCCTGTACAAGTATTTTCCCTCAGGGGAGGAGAAAATGGGGAGAGAAAGGAGACAGAAACAGAGGGTCTGGGTGTTCCCCTGCTTGGTCTAGGCCAGAAGCCTCGGCACATTCAGCTTTAATATTTGTAAGGCCCGTGGGAGTGAGGGACACCAGCCGGATGCAGTGGGAATAGTTGTAGTTTCCACACACCTGGCAGATACAGCTGTAGGGATGTCAAAATACTTGACCTCCAGGTCTCAGGTGTGGTCTGCTCTTTCTGTCCCCAGAGACACACAAATCCCCAGAGCCAGCAAGTGTTAAACAGGAAAGCTTGAGGAGCAGTTAGCATCCAAACTGGTCTCCCTTGGCTTCCCAAGCCCAACTGCATTCCTGCAGTCAAGTGGGAGTTGAGAGTAGTGGCCTTTCATTTTGTTTGCTCTTAAAATTAATTCCTCGTTCTCAACTCGTGTGTCCACGGGGGGGCAGTGGCACAAGTAGCGGGGTTGTGGGTTGGTCATGTTCCTGTTCACCATGAGCTGTGTTTGCAGCCTGCCATCCCCCCTCCCAGGACAGTGGAGAAGGTGTAAGCCGCTGCAGAGCTCTTATATGTGTCTCCTGTCAGCTTTTGATCCTTTGTAGTCACATGCCTGTAAACTGTTTCTCTCTCCCTTGAAGTTGGTGGTGGTCTTAGGCCTCTGGATTCTGCAGGGTGGGGTCTCCTCTGGACTCTGTTTTGGAGATGGACTCAGCCTGAATCACCCCCAGGCCCAGGAGGTGGCGGCCCTTTGGGATGGATCATGTTCACACCTCTTCTGGCTCCATCATTCTCCTTCTCCTTTCCCTGCTGATGATGAAAGGAATCTGGTGTTCCACAGCTGGACCATTTGATTGTTTTATTTTGGAATTGGTGTATATCATGAAGCCTTGCTGAACTAAGTTTTGTGTGTATATATTTAAAAAAAATCAGTGTTTAAATAAAAAGACCTATGTACTTAATCCTTTAACTCTGCGGATAGCATTTGGTAGGTAGTGATTAACTGAATAATAAACACAATGAATTCTTCACTGTGTATCTTTATTCTCCTTGACAGAGTTTGTGGACTACAAAAGGGTTAGGACATTGCCATCAAGATCCAGAGTCCTTATTTCCAACTTCATCTAGCTTATATCCTATCCTCTCAGGAAGGAAGGAATCTCCTGGAGTTTAGGGCCTGTTAACACTACAGGCTGGCATACCCAGCTTCTCCGATCCTAGGACATGTAGATTGAGAACACAGATTCAGTGATGTCTGTTTTGTCTTATTGGTGGTGGCGGTGGTTTTGTTTTGAGGTTGAAGGAGACTCTTTTGTTTTTGAGATGAACTCTCACTATATTTCTCTGGCTGGTCTCCAACTCCAGGATTCAAGAAATCCTGCCTCAGTCCCCAGAGCATACCTGGCTTTGATGTTATGGAATAGTTCACCATTTAGAAATTGGTTTAGATGGAGAACTTTGGGGGCACCAAGAGCTGTGCTTGTTTGGTTCCCTTCCCTCTCTTTGTGAAACGTGTAGAAAGACGAGTCTGTGATAAAATGCTTTCAACATGTTAAGTGGCTGTAATGGCTGCTTTTGGGGTGAGGCCAGGTTCAGTCTAGCCACACAGCACTCACTATGGTAAATATGGCAAGGTTTAGTGATAGAGCACAAGAGGCTTTACATTCAGCCAACAGCCTCACTTGTGGTTTCATTGCCTGGCCTGGGGAATTTCCAGCCTTCCGATGCAGTAACCATGTGCAAGAGGGGTCTGAGCCCTGTCCCGACCTGTGGGAAGCTGCTGGCTCCAGTTCCATGTAGGCTAGCTACCCTTGAAGCTGAGCAAAAGTTCCCATGTTGGGGTCATCAAAGTAAAAGGCAAAAATTCAGCCAGGCATTGAGCACTTGGGTGGCAAGAGGCAGGCAGATCCTGTGAAATCTAGGCCAGCCTAGTCTACTTAGTACCAGGCCAGCTGGGGCTACAGGGACCCCATTTAAATTCTTGCTCAGTTTAACCCCCTTCTGTTCAGTTGCTTCACAGTGACATGAGAATTAATGAGGAAATCTCACTTGTTCACAGTTCCTGATGTCACCCCCACCCCTTCCCTTGGATTCATAATTCCTCAGGAGGGATCTGGTTTGTATGTGCTCATTGTTCCTCTGGCTAGGCATCTACCAGGACCAGCTTGGCTGTGTCTCAGTGTAAAAGCTAAAATGGACAAGGCCTCAAGGGTACCAGTAGCCAAGCTGGCCCATCACAATGGTCTTCTGGACCTGGGGTATCATATGCCTAGGAGGTGGGCTTCAGACGAGACCATGGAAGAGCTGTGCATAACCAGAGCCTTCAGAGGATCTTGTAGCCCCAGAGCTGCCTGAGTGGCCCTTTGCAGAAGGCCATCGGCGCTGGTGACCTGTTTCCTCTTGACATTTCTTCCCCTAGACCTGCTTATAGAGTAGGTGATCCTCAGACTCATATATGATGTTTAGGAAAGTTCCTAAATAATCAGGGAAAAAATGAAGGTAGATTTGTATGAATTCATCTTTAAAATGTGCTGCTTTTACATATAGCACAAATTCCCCAATCAGAGCCCAGTTTGTCAGTAAAGAGGCTTCAGGGAGGGGCTCCATGTGTTCTTTTGGGAGCTTTCAGGGTTTAGGATTTTCATTTTTGTGGGGAGATGTTATGTAGCATAGGCTAGCTATGTAGTCACTATGTAGCCAAGGCTGGCCTTGAATCCACAGTGGTGGATTATAAACAAACCACTATACCCAGCTCATAACTCAGCCCAGGATGGCCTCCAACATCAGGCCCTGTGAAAGATTGTTTTATTTTTTGGACAGGGTCTTGCTTTGTAGTCCTGGCTGTTCTAGAACTCTCTATGTAGACCAGGCTGACCTTGAACTCCCAGAGGTCTGCCTGCCTCTGCCTCCTGAATGCTGGGATTTGGGTATATGCCACCACACCCAGTGTGGGGGAGCTTCTTAAACTTAAGTCTGAAGAGTTCCGGACCCCTCAGCAGCCTCTCTATGATGGCTAGCATCAAAATTCTAAAGCAGGTGGGCATGGTGGCGCACACCATTAATCCCAGCATTCTGGATCTCCGAGGCCAAGGCAGGTGGGGCCAGTTTGGTCTCCATAGCAAGTTCAAGGCCAGCTGGGACTACAGGGAGACCCTGACTCAGAAAGACACACCAAAAAAAGGCTGAAGAGGCCTACAAGATGGCTTAGCAAGTAAAGGTACTTCCTGCCAAGTGTGACATCCTGAATTCACTCCCCAAAGCTCATATAGTGGGAGAGACCAAACTCCCACAAGTTGTCCCTGACCTCCACATAAAAACCATAGCATGTGTACACACAAACACACATACACAAAATAAATGAATGTGGTGCATGCTTTTAATACTTAATTAACTACTGGAGAGATGGTGTGTGCTTATAGTCCCAGTACTCAAAGTGCTGCGGGCCAGCCTGGGCTGTATAATGAGACCCAGTCTCACCCAGGCATGGTGGCATATGCCTTTAATCCCAGCATTTAGGAAGCAGAGGCAAGTGGATCTCTGTGAATTGGAGGCCAGCCGGGTCTACATAGCAAATTCCTGGCCAGCTGGGGCTACAGGGAGACCCTGTCTGAAAAATACCGAAAAGTAAATAACAACCAAAATAGTTTTGGTTTTTTGTTGTTTTTTTGAGATGGGGTCTCCCTGTAGCCTGAGCTGTGTAGGCCTGGAACTCACTATATAGACCAGGCTTGGCCTTGAACTTACAGAGATCTGCCTGCCTCTGCCCCAGGAGTGCTGGGATCAAAGGTGTGCACTACCACGCCCATCTTCACAAACCAAAATAGTTTATAAGGCATGCTATATTCCCCAAACAAGCCACTAAGGAGACTTGATTCCTGCCCATCTATAAGCAGCGCTGATATTAACTTTTCTTATTTTTCAGTACTCCTGACTTAGATTTAGTAAGCACAGTCCTCAGTGTGAGTCAGCACCTACACACATCTGCCCCCAGACTGCCTGTGGACCTGAATGCTCCTGTGCCGTTGGCCCTAGAAGGTCCTGGCCTGGGGGGACAGTAGAACAGCCCCTTTCGCGTCCTGAAGACTCCTCCAGGGTCTTCAGGATTCCGGGTGAGTTTCCTTCATGGGGTACATGGCCTCTTCTGCTCTGGAATTAGGGGACTTCCCCACAAGAGACAGGCTGAGGAGAGTTCTGTACAACCCCCCACAGACCAGCAGCCTCCCCTTTCCACTCCTGCCCTGTGGGCATCACTGTTCTGAGTCATCCTGAAATTGGAAATTACCCCGCTTAGGGCTTCTGTGTTGCTAGACAAGCCTCCTTCCACCCTGATTCTTACATTGCTGTACAAGCCATGTTCTGAGTGAATTCAGAGAGGAAGTGGAGATGTCATGCAAATGGTGGGGGTGGGGACAGAGAGCAGGTACCATCCGCTCCATCTAAGTGTTGAGTGTAACTGCTTGGATAGTTATTAATAGGTGGGGCTGGGGGTGTAGCTCAGTGTTGGCCTAGGTGAGTGAAGTACTAGGTTCCAGGCCCAGCAGCAGACAATAAGCTAACATGGCTGGTGGCTGGAGCAGCATTAGTGGACATAGAGAGATGGGATGGGTGAGTGTCTGGGGCCAGTCTACTGAGCGACCCACTGCAGTGAGGACAGAGTCCAGTTGGGATCCTGGGGCTCTGAACTCAGCTGCGCAGTGCCTACCCTCTGTTGACATGGAAGGCTTCCTTCTGCCCTTTACAGTACGAAGGATGCAGGCTGAGTTCTGGAATGCCTGACTTGCAGTAATGCACAGAATGGAATCGGAAGCCCACCAGAGCCAAGGTCAGGACTGGAGAGGTGGCTCTGCAGTTAAGAGCACTTGCTCTTGCAGAGGACCCAGGTTCTATTCCCAGCACCCACATAGCAGTTCCATCACCTGCTGCTGGGCATTGCACACACACCACATACACATACATACAAGCGAGCAAAACACACACAGGTTTTGTGTTTTTGTGGGTTTTTTTTTTAAAGGCCAAGATCGCGTTAGCTTAAGAAATAGGGAACACTGAGGAGCCTGCCCAGGGTGACCTGCCCAGGTCTTCTCTCCTGGCTAGTCAGCTGGACCCTATTATGCTCAGCCTCCTTTCAGTTCTGAGTGGCTGTGTCTTGGGACACTGATGCACAAGTGGTCTGTGTGTTAGCCCTGTGATGCTCCACCCTGTCTCTTCTGCTTGTGATGACTCGGGAGCCAGCACAGGGCTGGCACATTGGTGTATTGTGCCACTGATATTAGAGGCTTCTAAATTGCCCAGGGCCCAGGTGTTAAGCCAGATGTGGTGGTGCACACCTGTAATCCCAGCACTTGGGAAGGAGAAGCAAGAGGATCAGGAGTTCAAGGCTAGTTTTCAACTACATAAGGAGTTTGAGGCCAGCCTGAGCTACATCGAGACCCCATCTCAAAAGAAAGAAAACTAAATAAGGTGGAGATTGAGGAGGACACTCAAAATCCATACACGTATACACAAAACACACGCAACTTTTTAAAAGTTGTTATGCTGGATGTGGTAGCAAACACCTGTAATCCCAACAGTTAGAGACAGATAGATCTCTGTGAGTCTAAAGCCAGCCTGGTCTACATAGCAAGTTCCAGGCCAACTGGGGCTACATAGTGAGACCTTGTCTCAGAAAAAAAGTCACTAGAATAGGATAATGGACTTGCTCACCCTTAACTGATATATAAGAGCACCTAACTCCAAAGCTGGTCCAACACATGTACGACCTAACAAATTCGCCCAGCTCCTTGGCTGGCCAAGCTCTGTTCTTTGGGCCCAGTTGCTCAGGATAGACCACCCTGCCCATTCCTCTCTTGATATCTGGGCTCCTCCTCCTTGGAGCTTCTTCAGCCACTGGACAGGATCTGTGGAGGGCATTGTGGGCTTTACTTCGTTGCGGCCTCTGCTTGGATGTGCCTCCTCAGAGAATCCCACCCTAGTGTGCTTGGCAATCCTCTTTGGCACTTTCCGCTACTTGCCTTGTTTCTCTCTTGTAG